GTCTTCTTTAGAAAAGCCTTTAATTAACTTTTCCATTCTTCACCCCTCTGTTTTTCTTAGTACCACCATCCATGGTCTCCTCTATATATTGTAATTGGGTTGTATCTTGTGTATTATTTTTATTTATTGTTGATGTCATTCTTTAAAGCACTTTGAGAAGCCACCTTTAAAGGCGCTATATAAAATACAGTTTTTTATTATTATTATTCATTTCCAACCCTTTCATATTTCTGCACCAGAGTAAAATAGTTACTATTGACAAGATGAGGACCAGTCAACATGTTGAATGGCATGAATAAAAATGGTAAAAAATAGAATTATAGTTCAGTACATTAGGAATTTCAATCTTAAACAGAAAAAGTAAAGAAAAAAAATCTTTGTTCATTCATTCAGTTTAGACAATTATGGAATATTATACAAATTAAATATATAGAATGTGTCTCTTTCTAAGTTAACTTCCTCTTAAGTTACCACTGCCAACTGGTAAATTTAGCTTTTGCCAATACAAATTTCTACCTAAGCACCACTGTGAGAATATGTACCCTATTATACAGCATTTCCTTCTTTCATTTTCCACTTAACTGAAGGCCTATTTTTACAAGGATTTCTTTGCTTACTAATTTCTATTTCATCCTTTACCCCCTTCAGACTAAATCATAAGAGTCAAATTAGTCTGCCATTGCTAACAGTCTGACCAGCTTCCATCTTCTATTAACAACGTTGTCTCTGCCTCAATGCTCTCTCTGTAGCCCACAGCCATCAATATTTTAACTTTGTAATTATAAAACCCTTCCTTCTAATTATTATTTCAGATTAAGGACCTTTTTTCCAATCTCATCGACACAATCATTGCTGTGTGCCCAGAGGGTATGAATCACAAGCTCTTCCCCTTTACCATTTCCGTAAATAAAATTAGTCTCACAGTTCTGATTCATGTGCCCATTTAAGACATCAGCCATCAGAAACTGCATTTTATAACAATCATACGCTTGACATTATAATTTCAAATCTGAATACCCAAGGACTGGGACTAAGAGATATAGATTTAAAAGATTGCCCTTGCTATATTATGGAGTATCTTTCAAGAGGAAATTATTCATATTATAGACCTTTCACATATTTTGTTGGATTTGTACTTATCTGAAGTTTAAAATGAAGTCAATCTGCGATGCTTGTCAGATTTATAATTTTTCAAATTTGTGTGAACCAAAAAAATTGAACATTACAAGCAATGTTTTCTTTTCTATTGTTTTGTTTCCTAAACCATTTTTTGGCTCGTGGTTTCTGTAAAACGTTCACACTTCTTCTACCACAACGTTTGCCTTTCATTTTGGGAAAAATACTTAAAAACAGCTTTATGGTATTTATAAACACAGTAATTCCTTGCTAAACATGAGGGTCAAGTTACTGAAAATCCTTGAAGTACTGTAGGTAAATTTGTGTTTGGTAAACTTAGTACCTTATTGGGAAAAATACGGTTAAGGGAAGCAAAGTCTCCCTCCTATTAACTATATTTTGGATATATCATATACATAGTTTTAAAATGTGTTTGACATAATTCATACCTTTATTACTGTGATGACACCCATATGAATTGAGCCACGTGGCATATACAAAACCTTAAATGACATCACTGTTCCACTTCTTACTCTCACTCTGATAGATTCCTCATATTTCTTTATTGTGCATTAATTTACACCACACAACAGTGAGATTACTTAGTCTTGGACTTAACTTATCAAGCACTTAGCAACACTGGACTCTGGTCCACTGGACTGTGCTCTCTCTCGTAACATTAGGAGCCATATTAACCGAAATTGCAAACACATCTACTCGCAAGGGAGGCTGACTGAGAAAGAACTAGATCGCTTAGTCGGTCTTCTCGTGGAAAATAAGTCTCCAGCCAGCACACATCGTGGCTCACAGATACTTCTCAACCTCAAAATCTGGGGGTCGTGCAAGGTAAAATGTTATACAGAAAACGGCGTGGATACTCAAAACCTTGTATGGTAAATTCTTCTAGCAAGGGATTACTGTATTCTTAAATAAAGTGAATTAATATTTGTATGCATCAAATGTATATATATATTTTTCTTTATAGAAATGTGCATTGAAGTGCACTGCCATCTACACTTTGAGATAAGTCCATATATACGAGATATAGTCTAATAAGTCCCACTTGCAGTGTTCACTCTTACTTATGATATTTAGCTAGATTCATTGAAGAGAAATTATGTTTCTTTACCTGTGAGACTGAGTGGCTGGAAGTAGGACTCTTTGTACTGGTCAGACACAGTGTTGAACTGTCCTTCATCCTCTGAGCCCTGGGGCACTAGATCACCTGTTAAGATAGCGAAGTAATTCAACGAGAAAAATAGAAGCCACTGGTTTAGATTATCCTTCAAATCATTGCATTTAATCAGCAAATATACAGTGCCCTCCAGAATTATTGGCACCTTTTGGTAAAGATGAGCAAAAAAGGCTATGAGAAAATGTCTTTGTTGTTTATCAGCTTGATGTTACACTGAAACTATGTGGGAAATACCCATCTCCACTATTAGGGAAATAATTAAGAAGTTTCAAACAACTGGAGCTCTGATGAACCTGCCTGGAAGAGGACGCAAGTGTATTCAGCCCCCACACACAGTGAGGAAGATGGTTCGAGAGGCAAAACTTTCTCCAAGGATCACAATTGGACAATTGCAGGAGTTGCTTGCAACCTGGGGTCACCAAGTCTCCAAAACTACAATTAGATGCCACCTCTATGCCAACAAACTATTTGGAAGGCTTGCCAGAAGAAAGCCTCTGCTGTCGTCAAACCACAAACATAAGCACCTGGAGTTCGCTAAACATCACTTGAACTTTGATTGGAACCGGGTTCTATGGTCAGATGAGACAAAAACAGAGCTTTTTGGCAACAAACACCAGAGGTGGGTTTGGCATGAATAGAGTCAAGGTCATGCAGCAAACAACCTCATCCCCACTGTGAAGAATGGTGGTGGATCTGTGATGCTGTGGGTCTGTTTATCTTCCAAATGCCCTGGGAAATTTGTTAGGACACACGGCATCATGGACTCCATCAAATACCAGGAGATTTTAGATCAAAATCTGCCTGCCACGGCCAGGAGGCTCATTGTTGGAACTTCCAGCAGGACAATGATCCAAAGCTTACCTCCAAATCCTCACCGAAATGGTTCACTGACCACAGAATCAAGCTTTTGCAGTGGCCATCCCAGTCCCCTGCCCAATACCCCATTGAAAACCTGTGGGGTGAGCTGAAGAGGAGAGTCCACAAGCAAGGACCAAGGACTCTGAAGGATCTGGAGAGATTTTGTATGGAGGAATGGCGTCAGATCCCTTCGTGTTCTCCCACCTCATCCAGCATTATAAGAGAAGACTTAGTGCTGTTATCTTGGCAAAGGGAGGGTGCAGAAAGTACTAAATGCAGGGGTGCCAATAATTGTGAGACGTGTTTTTGAGAAAAATGTTTATTTTTAAAAAATCTTTTTATCTTTAAATACTTTTACCTCACTGAAAGGTTAGATTTCTCTCACATTTTTAGTGTAAGATCAAGTTGATAAACAACAAAGACATTTTTTCATAGCCTTTTTTGCTCATCTTTACCAAGGATGCCAATATTTCTGGAGGGCACTGTATAAGACATCCCTACTGTAAAGGAAGGAAATAATTTTAAAATAAAATTTTAAAACAACCTTACATACAGTGATATTAAAAGTCAAATCAGTTTCAAAGAATGCAAATTGTTACAATTAAAGCAGTTACAAAATCATAGATTCCTCTCAGTTCTGTACTGAATTACACATCACTCTAAAGAAGTTAGGCAAACTTCCCTGTCAAGAAAAGCAATACAAGTCTTGTGCTTCTGCAAGAGAAAGTATTTCCTTGAATTATGTTTTTTTGTTTAGTGTTGCATATAAACAATTCCCAACACTGGAAACAAAACTTAAAAGTACTTTAATAATAAATAGCCATGAATAATACATCAATCAGTATAAAACATCTGGTCAATCGTAATGCCCCTACCCATTTTCTCATGGTATAGGTAACTACAAAGCAAAATGTGTTAACTTCCAAACAACAAAAGATGTCCAGTTTAAACCAACATTAGAAAAAATTAAATCAAAATAATATGCAAAAACTCATCTTTATTTACATTCAAGTTTTCTGTCCTACCTTGAAAGACGGCCTTGTTAGAAAGCCCTAATGCAGGTGTACTGGCTCCTTCTGGGAGATCAGTTGTGTCCTGTGAAGAATGGACAGTTTGCGCTTAAACTATTAAAAGGCTGTGCTTTCTATGAGAAAACCTTGCATTTACAGTGCCTGTGGAAAGTCTACATTCTGTGGTATAACAGCCTGCAATCAACACACATTCAATCAGAATTTATATTACTTTTATTTATACATTGTAACATACAACCTCCAATGAAAAACAAATATACAGACTTTCTAAAGCACCTTATTTTTGTATAAACTGGCACTGTACAAAGAAATCATTTCAACTGCCAACACTGAAATATTTTATTCTGTGACCTTTGATCCTGAAAGCTTTTTTTTTTAAATTCAGCTTGTATACAATGGTTCCATTTAGATATTTATAAGAAAACTCTAGTGTGGCAGATTTCAGCTGTAACTGTTCTTTTACAATTTACACCTATAATCTAGACAAGGTAAAATAAACTGAATTTCATTTGTCTTATAGTGGAGAATGCATTCCCTGTGAATATACAATGTCACTACACAAAGGGCAGGAAAGTCAAGGGTAAATTGTATGTTACAAAACCCCAGATTTAAACACTAATGTACATGTCAAGCCATTGCAGGGTGCTATGGAAACTATCTTAAAAAAACTGAAATTTTCAGGATAGTTTAAACAGGGGTTTAAAATAAACTGCTTTCAGAAACTCACACATCACCACACAAGAAGGATTTGCAACACTCACACATAAAATGTTAATCCTAATTACCTGACATAAAGAAAGCGCAGACTGTAACATAAATATTCAAATTTACAACACTACATTTATATGGGACATGTGATCTGTATTCTCTCCCCCCTTCCCATCTAAGTGACTACATATTTACAACTCCATTATTTTGATAACTACTGGCTTGGGTGGATAAGAGCTAAATATATTTAGATTTTACAACACCGTCACACATTTACAATTAATAAAAACACTAACACTTACTGCGCTTTATAAAGTAGTGAATGCAACTGCTGAAGAGGGAGTACCATCGCTGCATGTCTACATTTTTAATTTGTTATTTTCGTGCCCTTTTATAAAACGTGATCTGGAGGAAATTTGGATGGATTCTCAGGCATCTTGGGATGAATGAGATCGGGACAGATCAAGCACTATTTGATCTGGGGGCGGAGCTGTGGCTCTGTGGCTAAGGATCTGTGCCTGTGGCTGGAAGGTTGCTGGTTCAAATCCCATGGCCGGCAGAGGAATCCTATTCCGTTGGGCCCCTGAGCAAAGCCCTTAACCCCAACTGCTCCAGGGGCACTGTATAAATGGCTGACCTCAAGCTTCTCTCTCCTTGTTGGAAGCTGGGGTATGCGAAAAGACAAATTCCTAATGCAAGAAACTGTATATGGCTAATAAAGTGATCTCTTATTTCTCTCTCTCTTACTGCTGAAGAACGACATTCACAACACTCAACGCTAACTTCTTCTGGCCTGTATTATCTCAGAAAGAACCAGCGCAGCCCCGCTGATCACTTCTTGAAAGTGTCATAATGTTTTGCTAAGTGGAGCTGGAATAGAGAAATTACATTTTAACACCAGGGTGTGGTTGAGATGAAACCATTTAAGATGTCACAGTATGCTTGCGTACTCACCGTGGAGCACCATAGTTTTTCAAGGGGCGTCCCTGTAATGTTGCTGAAGTTTTCCACAAAATTCCGTGGGGCCCTGAAGACCCTGAGGACCTTTTCATCAGCTCCAGAAACAAACTGGAAGCGGCCCACCATTGCCAGACACTGCATGTCATACCCGTGAATCTGAGGTCGAGAAATTTCATGCCACGTAACCTGAAGCAACAAGAAAGAAAGTCAACAGCCTGCCTAACATCCTGGGATTCACAACCTTAGACCTGCAACAGAAACTCAAAATGCCGCTGTTCAGCAATGACTTTAACATCGTTAATCTAAAGGTCTGAACAGACAAACACAGTTCAGTATTATACAGTACTGTTAGTATTGCTTGAATACATGCAGTACTGAACAACAGCATGACCAAATGAACCACAACTGGGGCAAAGTTTTCCCTCCACAGTCACTGTTCATACACCACCCCATACTTTTCATAAAAAAATGCAGAAATGCAGGAAGTAATCTGTTACAATGGCATGTAGTGGAGATAGCAGTAAGAATCTTTTAGGAATATAACTATAACCATAACCATAACACTAATGCACCCGGTATTAGAAACCCTCTAACACGCAAATATGGACATGAATCTCAGTAACGTAAATTAAATAAGCAATCACATGAATAAAAGTATGTTTTTAACAAGTTGCTCTAGAATTGCCTGCACAAATCCTGTTATGTGGCATGTGTGCAACCCCTGTGTGTTGATACTAACCTATAACCGGTTCCGTGCAATACATCTTTCCAGAACATAAAAAGGATAGCTGCTGGGCTTGACAAGGCTGAAGTTTGCTTTATCACAAAATTGTAGATAAAAAGCAAAACTAAAGTATTTGTATCTTGGCAGAAGAGGACCACAAATCATGCCTTTTCTATAGGAGGACTGAGATTCAGTTTTACAATTGGCTCTTCCCACTGCTCCAGTTACTCCAAAACAAGACACTGGGTAGACAAACCCATTCGTGCAGAAGAAGTGCCTATCAGCCAGACATATTGTAGCACTACCTTCAACAGGCAACAGTGTTAAACTAAAGGCAAAAAGCCTCCATCACCTGCTGTAACTCATAACGAAGAAAGTAGACCGCAGCTTTTGAAATAGCATATACAGTACTGTTAAATGTGATGTTAAATCCTTGTAGCATGCCAGGATAAATCAAGAATTAGCTAGTAACAAATTTAAGCAAGAATATCAGCAAGATATTGATTCTACAAGACTTATCTCAGAACCATGCATCTTCGAATGATCGTTAAATCTAACAGGCCTGTCATTAGTTCTGGAAAATTACTATAAGAACTGTTTAATAATCATTATGCTCTATGATGTTACTCACTGTCACGTGACTCATACCTTGCTCATAACACTGAACTCAAAGATGACAACTATGATTCTTAAAAGAATGCTTAAAAAGATGTTTAAGAAGTGTGACTGAAAGAAAATGTATCGAGCTCTAGACACGTCTCGAATGGTTAAGGAAAAGAACCAATATGCCACTTTCTATCATTTGTGATATACTGTAGTATACCTCTGTCTGATTCTTCTTTTTCCAAGGAGTAAAGAGCCGAGCAGTTTGATCAGCGCCCACGCTCACAAGGAATTCACCATCAGGGTCCCAGCTCAGGTCCTGAACACTGTTGAAATGGCCAGAAACCACAACCCCTGGACTCCACTCCCCCTACAAAACATTTCTTCTTTGAGGGATGCATTTTCCGTTATCTTTTTAGATAGCAGCCTGAATATACATGGGATTAACATGACTGGCATAAATATAAAACTGAATATACATGGGATGGCCAGGTTTCATCTACATCGTAAAATATCCTTACTATTTAGGGACAATCAACAGTTCTGCACCCATTAGATCCCATCAATATGAAACTGGAACACCAAGGGCAGTATACTGAAACACCAATACAGGATGTACAGCTTTTATAGATCACTAGTATTTAACAAACAACTTGACCAAACTGCCACACACAACATGACAATGACACTGTAACTCACACAAGAGACAGTCACAATTTAAAAGACATCCTACCTCCTTGGACAGGTCTTGGTACCAGAGGTGCAGTGCACCATGGAAGGCATGGGCCAGAATCATAGATCCATCTGGACTCATCTGACAGCCGTAGAACCCCAAAGTGTTCCCACCCACCTCTCCGACACGCACCTGGAACAGAAACTGAATTTTACACTCAGCGCTTTAGCCAAACACAAAATTGGATGGGTTACAAGTATTGGCAGGAGCTAAAGTTGATGAAATATGATGAAGACAATCACGGCTTGCTGTGTGGTAATTTATGTTTAGCAGCACGTTAATCTGCAGGACTTCAGTCTTTAGACTCTGCGAGATTCAGAGCAGGCTGTGTCTAATCAATATTTTATGCAGAGATGAGCAAAGAGAATACAGTAACATTTTAAAACAGGAAAAGGAGACATCCTCTAAAAATAAGCAAGCCCATTTGCCTCGCTTAAAAATCTCCCACATGTGACACTAGTGGTCGCCAAGGAACACAAAATAATCAGTACTAGCCGTTGAATAATGTAGCTAAGACAACTTTATTCTTCTTTTTTTTTATTCTTTTTAATATAATTTTAAATACACCCAAACACAATGCCTCACACTGCTTTTCACCATCACTTCACATTCCTACTCAAGTATTTTCTTTGTTTTTTTTTTTAACAGCGGGCCGATTCAATGAGAAAGACTGCCAAAACAATTGTTTATGAAAGTACATTTTCCTCAAGTAAAAAAAAAACTCATAAGCACTCTTACAGTGCTTCAAGCAAAACTCACACATAACTAGAACATAATCCAGCAGTTCTGCTACACAATCAAACAGTTATTGAGGAGTAAGGTAAAGAACTGATTTCTTTGAAGATGCTTTTAATATAATTTAGAATGCTTCTAAGGAAGCATTCATGATTTAAGAAAAAACACAATCTCTGACTGAGTTCACTGATTGCTACAATTCTAATGCCTAATGAAAAAGAATGAAATTAATATTTTGCCTTGTGACACTACTAATGTACTATTTTTAGTGTACAAGGGAGTTTCCATAAGATAACGTTCCCAGTCACTATCAAAAACACATGATTGCTGGCGGGTTTGCGGAAACAGAGTGCTATAACCACCTTATCTGCTTCATCCTGAACCCATGGGAGCATGCTGCCTGTCCATGGTAATGGAACTGAACCAGCTGAAAGACAGCTGGCCAAACGCACAACGAGTCAAACAGAAGTCATTCTGCAGGAGTGTGTACAGCAGGAGTCTTGCTGTTGAGTGCAAAGGGAGACATCAGCTCAAATTCGCCACCTATTCGTGGAGTTATAAAAACCCCACGTCGTAGACCAACTACATTAACAAATAAGGTCCTGATAGCGATTTCTGAGACCATTGGGCCACATCACTATTCTGACCTGATGTGTTATCTAATTTTTTCCATCTTCTCAGTTCTTTTAAAGAAGCACCAGTCCAGCAGATGAGTGGCCACCAACACTGGAGCACTGCAGGTGCTTAATGTTTGGCTCCAGGAGCCTGACATGGATTTCTCTTATACTGGATTCAATGTCTGTCATGACGAGACCCATTCTTAAAGTGTTTACAGTACTTTATAGTAATTTCCTTTGTTAACCTATTTTGTGTACATTAATGATGCAAAAAGTTGGGAAAATCATAAAATTTGCCTAATTTTTTTTGTACTGAACAGATCCAAGATTAAACCGTTTACTTTAATGTTTTAGATATTATTCCATAATTTAATTCCTATACTGTACCTCTCGCATCTCTTGTAATGTACTTTATTATTTTATTGAATCTAAAACAGGTTTCTGCAGGTCCTCTCCCATCTGGTCTCACACTTAAAAACAACTGAGATTTTCCAGACAGCTGCACATTTGTATGTTTTTTTTTTTACTGGTTTTGGTTGTATAAATAATTGGTATAAAGGAATTAGTGCAGAACAACAACTATGGCTGTCAGGCTGACACCAAGGGCCAAAAAAAATAGTACAATAATTAAAGGGGATTACTGGGGGCTAGCAGTCTGACATGGCTGTAACTCTGAGTTTCTGCTAGACAACCCCCTATTTTTCCATTTCTTCTCGCTTCAGAGCTGTCCGGTTTTGTTGGTTATTTTTCTATTTAATCGATCCGTCCGGCCATCAACAGAGGGACTCATTTCCAGCCGCGATGCCCATGGGGAAAACATGTCAGCTCAGCCTCGGGCCGCAACGAACCTGCGCCATTTTTGGAGGGAGCCTTAGCTGCACATGGCGATTCACTTCACAGCATGATGATTTTAGATTTTAGATCGAGTTTTTGGGCCCTGTTAACCCGTCATCACAGGCTTTTACGACAAGACCTTGACAAACAGGTGCACCCTGTAGAAAAGCTTTCTGTGTGAGAGCGTGGGGAAAAGATACTGTACAACACTATCCACACTGCTGAAGCAGAGCTCCCTTTTGCTATGGCTGCTTAGGGATGACTCCACTATTAACTGACTAAAGAAAAGGATTTGGCTGGCTGGCACGACAGTGGCCAGATGAATGCTGCAGTCGCCAGCAGTCCCCTCACACTCTTCCCTGGTGTCAGTGGGCCCTGGTCTTTATGGGAGTTTTCTACCTCTTAGGTTCTTGGTGCCAAGGAGGCAGCACAAGCCTCTGCGGGAGACAAGTGTGGAAGATGTGAAAGCATTTCTGGTCCCTCCTTTAGTTGCTGGTCTGGATTCACGGGACCCCTAAGTCTTGTCATCCGGGACAGAGCGGGTTTTGAGGGAGGATGGAAAGAGGGGTTGATCTCGGGTGGGGGGGTAAAGGTTTTTTTTTTTGTGGTTATTTCAATATTTCTTGTTCATTGTTAAAATAATTTTTAAAAAGCTGATCACAATAAGGCATTTCTTGGAAAGAAATGCCTACAGTGCAATTATATCAACTGATAACATAGCATTCATCTAACATCAGAAGAAAATCCACCCACAGGGAAGTAACCACAACTCAGCCATTAACTTTAAAATATACAACACAGATTTGATGTTATTGTCCGTGGATTGCTCAGTCATGGGTACTGCACTTTTCAAGCATCATAATCATAATCATAATGAGGTGTAACAAAGCCCCAAAACCCTTTTTCTTAAATTATAGTAGAATCTAAGGAAAGTTCACATTCTTAAAAACAAATTATATAACGTAGGTGTCCCTCCTACAAACTGTATTGATGTCTCACATCATGGTAATCTCCTGTTCCAGTAATTTCACAGTTCTAGTTCACTGTAACATTAAATACTCAGCTCCTTACATGACAGGGTAGGGTTTAATCCTAAACATCAATGAAAAATGAGCCTCTTTTCATAAGAAATTAACATCAGGTGGGACTAATCGGAAATGCGGCAAAGGCTGGTACACGCTGAAGAAAACAAATTGTGAAAAATCCTGTATCTCTGCTGTCCATAGCAAAATAAATTTAGTCTCCAAGGCACTTTTTAAGAACTTAAGTTTTCCAAGTATATAAACTAGTAACGACCAAAATGGTGAGACTTGTGGATGATCTTTCTCAAATGTTATCTATAAAAAATGCATATCATCCCATGTAAACCTTTCACGTCACAATGCCCACTGATTTTAGTGATCAAAGATGCACGTAATATGGGTTTATAGAGAAGAGGTGTGAAGGGTTACTTTTTCACACTTCTGCCAAGCTTTTCCCTTATTGCCTAAGACGCATAGCCATTAGGGTAACTGGCATGGTGAGTGGATCAATGCCTAAGCCAATATTATCCTCATTGATTCTTGGTCTGGCTGTATTTTCTGTGGTATTGTTACGACCCTTCAGAAAGCCTCCAGGTTATATACTGAATAAGCTGCACTCTGATTCGTCGAGAGTTAATTGAAGATGACATAATACGGAAACAATGGTGTAATGATGGACCAATGGAGGAGGGAGAACAATCAAAGTCAGAAGTGTGGAACATAGCAACAAAAACACACAGACCACACACTGGGACGTAACAGGTATTATAATGAAAAAGTAACTTAACCAAGAATCACCTTATACCAGCTATGGTATGACAGCAAAATGTTTTGTATACCATTTTCTTTTTAGAAATTTTCATTTTATTGCCGAGCCGTATTTCATTAACATTGTAAATGAGTTTAAACATTTTTTTTACATTGAAAATGTAGGCATAAATCTAGGGAGACTGCAAAATCAAAATTCAAAATACTGTATAACCAGACTAGCCCTCATTGCAACCCAAAACATCAAGTTGTTGATCAAATTCGACACATACAGTGTCTTCTAAAGGTATCCCAGAATCTGAAATGTATCCGCCTTTTTTAAACTTAATGAATTCAAAACCCAAATGCTTAAACTGAAGACATCGAAGAGCAAGATAAGTTACAATAAATTATATCAAAACTATATAGATGAAACAAATACATTAATTTCATAAGTATTTTGACCAGTGAAAATTTGTTGGAAGCAAATATAGCTACAATATAGCTTTTCCACCAATATTGGGTTGTACATTGCTCCATTCGTTTTCCTGCAATCCTAACAAGCTCCATCCATGCTGAGAAGAAATACTGGACACCCTACCATAATACTACCATCCACTGCAGGGATGGTGTTGATTTGGAGATGTGCTGTGTTGGGTCTGTGCCAAACCTCACATTTAGACCAGCTTTTTGGCACACTTCATGCAGGCTGTGAGATTGTTTCTTCTTGCCACCCTGTATCCTGGATGCTGTCAACTGAACTTTTTCAAACTTGTCATTGGCCTCAAGATGGAATCTCTCGCCAGCTTCCCCCACGCCAGGCTGCTAGGTTTGGAGGGATAGTTTGATAAAGGCAGTGATAAGATAAGATCACTTTATTGGCATTAAGGAACTTGTTTTTTCACATACCCCAGCTTCCGCTCCATGAGACACACAGGCACACACAGAGAAGCTTGGGGTCAGAGCACAGGGTCAGCTACTTATACTGCGCCCCTGAAGCAGTTGGGGTTAAGGGCCTTGCGCAGGGGCCCAACGGAGTAGGATTCCTCTGCCGGCCGCGGGATGTGAACCTTAGCCACAGTGCCACCACTCCGCCCTAGTGACTGGGTGGTACTTGATTACTTGACGATTGAGAAGATGCTGTTCACTGGGACATTTAGAGAATTCAGTATTTTATGCTCCTTTCTCCTGAACCATGTTTCTCAATGACTTTATCTCTGCTGTTTTAAAAGCTTCTTAGTATAGAGAGGCATTTTTATTCTGAAATGTGAACGACTTTTATTACACACAGAGGCCACACAATCAGTTCTGTGGCTTGTTAACGTAATTTTATTTACCTAAATTAATTTAGGTTCACTACAGCAAACGATTTGAATACCTATGCAATTATGATTTATCACCTTTTTCTTGTTAATATCCTGTTTACCGGTCTTGTTTTTTCATTGCTGTGAACGTGTGGAATAGGTTGTGAATATAAAAAAAACTGCTATTTTAAGGTGTCATGACTGCAAGTTGCAAAGGAACACATTTTGAAATCTATCCAAGGGTCTGTATGTTTTTACAAAGAACTGAACAAAGATTTTTTTTTTCTTTTTTTTTTTAAGGACAGTGAGGGGCAAAAGATTAAAAAAAAAGATTAAATCACATTGATTTTATTTTAAAAAAATGATATTATAAGAATAGAATACATCTGTAAAGATGTTTTCCTCCATAAGATTATTAGAAATTCAAACTACTTCTAAAACCAGCCACTGAGAGGGAAAGCAAATGAACAGCTAAAGAACACACAATATCCGTGTGTAGAGATTCAAAATAGAAATAAGGAAATAAAATTCCTCAATCCCATCCTGTCCCTTACCCCTAAGAGCCCAAAGATGTTTTGGTCATCAGTCTGAATTACTGGCTCTGCAAGTCCAGATCTTGAACCTCAGTTTTCTTAGAGGCACATCACATATGATTCAGCATAATGACCCTGTTTAGCATGGTGTATCATTACAAACCCTGAGGCTATGTCTTTTCACGCTTTATTGAATCTGTCTTGCGCCAGTCCTGACAGTTGCAGTCACGCAGCAGATACATTTTATTGTGTCAATAAAATAAAATGGGTTCCTCATATAGTGTGCAATTTAAGGTGAAGAAAAGCTCTGTATTTCTATAGTTGTAGTAAATATTAACTTAAAAGGAGATTTCCAGTTTATATTTGAACTACAATGGGAAAAGAAGCTTAATTGATTGTGAATTGTATTCAAAGTAATATTACTATAGTACATAGAGTTAATCTGTAGTCTAATCCTCACCTCTAGAGAAAAAATAGAGATTTATAACACAATGTCTTAACATTTTGTACCAGTATGAGAAGAAAACATACAGAGATACCATCAGGGATGTTTACAATGCTGCTGCTTGTGAAATGTTCACAGCATAAATAACAGAGGAAAACACAAAAATCTCACACATATTCGTCCACATTATGTCAGTTCAGAAGGAAGAGCAAAACTAGAGATCTACAAAAAATATAGAATGTACTGGTAGAATGAACTAAGAGTTCAGATCTGCAAATATCTGGTCCACTCTGAAAATCATACAGACAAAAGTGATGCTTATGAAGTCAGGTAGCTCCCTCAACTACTCAGTAATCATACTTATTAAGACTTATGTACAATTGTTTTCCTTTTACTACTGTGTTTATCTGAATAGAGTGTTAATTAGCAAGACAATTTTCTAACGGCGACTGTTTACACCATGTACCTATGTCAATGTATACATATGTTACATTTAGACAATGCTGGGTAAAGTATTAGGACATACACTTCCTGTGCACTAAGAGAAAATCCCATTACTTTGAAAATGCCAAGCTTTTGGATGTAATGACAAGATGACTTTTTCTTTCTTAGATCTGTATTATTTTGTGACAAGAGAAACTATCACTGTATACTGTTATAGTAGACTTTACCTAAGATGTAATCTCAAACAAACCAAGACATTCTTTTCCATCAAAACATCACTTTGGCAGTGATCCACTCAGTAGAGTGCTATTGACACTTTTTATTTAGTCCCAAAAGTAACATTATTATGAATGTCACCCTCTTATGGATGTTACCTGTCAAAGGATCAAAGGATATCAGAATATGGAGGTAAGCACTACTCTAACCTGTCCAAAGACGGGGAAAGCAGACATCAATGACCATGTGAAAGTGAGATTGCAGGTGTGCAGAGAAAAATGTTTTGTTTTTTTTTAACTTACAAAAGCTCTTTACAGAACACTCAAGAAATTCATAAAGATTTTACTGTCACAGTAAAGGCCATTTTTTAAATAATGAAGGAAGGTGTTGCCTATATTTCTAAAAAATGTAGATTACAGATTTCTTTAGACCCGTGACTGGAAGCCTGCATTTTACACTTCATAATTTGCGAGTTTTAAATTAAGCATGATCGCAAAACAACAGATGCTCCTTGTCCTGATTGGAGAAACAGGGCATATTGGACAATCTGGGCATTAATAATAGGGGGAAAACACAAGGAAGACATTTTTTAAAGGAATTTACACAATACTCCCGAGCCTTTAGAAATTTCAGAGCTGTAATTAACCAGAACATACAGCAATATGGGCTAGTCTACTGGGTCTACAGTATTTCCAAATATAAACCAAAAAGTTGTGTAAATCCTGTCTGGAACTCCGCATCAATTCTGCTGCCCAGTATCAAACAAATGGGTATTTGTCAAATATTTAAACACTAAAACAAGTCAACAAAGATGTGATATTAATCTTCTTGTCCCTTCATGGTTTGCTTACTTTGAGTGTGCATGAAATATTCTAGAAATGAGTAACAAATCATAAGAACATTACAAAAACTAGATTTGTAAACTGAATATATATTTAGACTGCAAAATGGAGCTCTACAAATGTTTAAAGAGTTTAAAATGTCAAAGTTTGCAAGCATCAAAGAAAAATTGGTATTTTATTACACTGTTATTAGCTAACAGGTTAGGACAAAATCTCAAACCTCATCTACACTAACAAAACACCATCTTGCTTTAAGGAGGATGGGGTGGTTTTACCACCTGCTATGTCAATGTAAATCAGAAAGAGATAATAAAGCAGCAACAAGATGATGAAGCCCCAAGAAGCAAAATTATTCTTTAAACTTATAAGCATTTCATAATATGTCAGGAAGTAAAGACCTTTTTGGAGAAAAAAAATCTCTCCCTTATCAGACCTATAACCAGAATCCACATACAGTACCTGCTCAAGCCACACACCCGACTCTTCATCAGGGGCCCACAGAATCATAGTTTTATCCATAGAGGCAGAAAGCAGGCGCATTGGCTGTTGGACAATGCCATCTACAGGGAGAAACAAACCATACTGTAGCTCAGGCTAACCTGTGTGCCCCTAGACAATCTCCATACTTTACAATACATCTGTACCAATGAAATTGCATTTATGCACTAAATGGTAAGTTATATTTTATTAAAATTATATTTGTGAGCAATGTAGAATACAAAATGCTGAAAAGGCTATGCAACGCTATACAAGAACACATTCTTCTTCTACAAAATCTTTCTGTCGCTTAAGCAGTTAATATTAAATGATGCATTGAGATATGTATTATTCCCTAAGCAACCTCAGTGCAAAACAGTAGAAAATACAAAACACTGAGCATACCAGTTGAACTCTAAAAGCAATTATGAGGACATCGGTGTTGGTGACCCTTACCTCTCTAGACCAAGGTCATTCAGATTAATGCCAAGGCTACGTTTCGAATGTGTCTGCATTTGTAAACATTGTGCACTTACAGTCTCTAAAAACAAAAATTAATAAACATGCAAACAGTGGTTGGGTCTACTTTAAACAGCTGCTACAAAGCATATCAGTAATACAAATAAACTAGAACTAAGCATTTAAGCATTAACCTTAAAGAACTTAGCCTGAGAGTACAGGTCACAAATACATTTTTCAGAAGATATGCCCAATGTTTTATTTCCAATTTCCCCATCCATATTTACCTGGATCACTGTTATTTTAAATAGTTTAAATTATATGATTTATTTACTTATTTGTTGATTTATTCATTTACTTACTATAATACTGAGCTTTTACAGCTAAAGAGAGCCCAGGTTTAAACAAACCCTTTAAATCTCGTCCTATCTCACCTCTAAGGAAAGAAGGCTGCCAACACACCCCATACACCCAGTTTTCATGGCCGGCCAGAACTGTCTCAAGGGTAACAGCAAAGGATAAGGAAGAATCTGTACAAACAGAAATTAAGAAGAATGGTATAAGAATAACTGGTTTACTTGGAGAATTTGCTTAACATCCTGTAAACAGTATTGCTTACCTTGGTATTCTAAAGAGACGTCATATTACTGTATATTTAAAGTGCTTTATGAAAAACAAGTTGAACTTGGAACAGAAGTTTACCTCCTAATATCTAGAAAGATTTATTTTCAGTTTCTTCCTATGAAAGTCTGTTTGATTCATAAGGTCAACAGACATACATTTGAACTATACATAATTCAAAATACAGTATGCAAACATCACAACAAAATGGAATACAAACAAACATGTATGTTTTTAGGAGAGGTAATCACGTAGTTAATTGATTAATTGGCTCCAGGTATTTTAAGCCTTCCGACATTCATTCCAAAAGTATCAAGACAACTGTTCATGATGCAGCCACAAGCTTTAAATGTTGCTGAAGGTCAGCTTGCAATCTTCAAAATTGACCCTGTTATATTGTACTCCCATTCCTCGAATTAATCATTTCAAATATAAAAAGTTGCAGTTCAGGACTTTCTGAACACCCTTGAAGACATTCCACAAGATTTGATTCTAAAAAATGAATCACGGAAAACTGTCAAACAGATTTAATTACAGGTCCCAGCACATTAGAAAAATAAATTGATTTTCATTTGTGAAATGTGACTGGTGACAAATCAATTTGAATATCTTCAAGTGACAGAGCCCAGCTGGCAGAGGGTCACCGCGGACTCGAATCAGTCAAAGAGCACTTGACTCGGCACATGACAGCAGTCCCTCTGACTTGCCAAGCACCTGTTGCCGTGCAATACTCAATACTGTCAGTAACATTCACACCACTTCCCTAGTCGATGGCTAACTAATGTTGTGGGACCTGCAGTGTGAAAAATGGCAGATGACACTGACATTATAGTTTTCACACAAAATTGCACACTGCTTTGTTCGCACATTGCTCTCGGCATGTGTGCGTATGAGGGAGGTAATACTGAAACTTTGTTTTGACAGCTGTTTGTATTCGATATATCACATGGATTTGTAAGAAAGTGATTTTGACAGTATAGTATCCCTTGGATGGTTCAGACTCGTCCCCTGAAAAAAGGTCCCAGGAGACTGAGGCTTTAAAACCACACTTCAAAACCCAAAGAGGGACAATTATAAGGAGCCATTCAATTCTATACTGTAAGTCTTTTCGAGACAGAATGAAATCAAAAAACATGTACATATACAAGCAGAGAACATGCAAACTCTTCCCACAGAGAGGCATTCCGAGACTGGAAATGAACCCAGCACTGTATTGAAATAGTAGAGATTACTATAGTTATTGTAACTCTTTAGACAAAATTCCTTGTGTATAATCAAAAGAAAGCGTTCGTGTCTGATGAAAAGACAAAGGGAATACAAGCACGGACAGCTCACCCTTCAATTTCACTGAAAAGACGAACTCTTTCATTTTGATGGTCTCTTCATCTAGATCTTCACCGATGTCTGACTTTGCAAGCACTTTCCACATTCTTATCAGACAGTCTTGTGCACAGCTTGCTAATAAAACTTCCCCATCTGTGATTTTAAAAGAACAACATTTACCCATTGACTCTGCCTCAGTCTACAGTGCACTTATTTCATTAAATATTTTACAAGATACAGAATATCTTCCTTCAGCTAAGAGCAAAAGCCTGTGTCATGAATTATGAAAAGATTTAACACTACATACAAAAAAAGGAAAATAATTAGTTGATATTGACTGGTTAGGAAATATGTAAATATTTTGACATGCTTATATAGTGAGTAAAACCATAAGTAAATATAAGTACTATAAGTAAAACTGGGATCTAGCACAGAATTTTTAATTGCATTCAGGACTGGACTTCAGTCCATTCTACAGTAACGAAAGGATGATTTTTTTCTTTTAGAAACAATCTTCACCTCTCTTAAAAAGAGTATGCCCACTTTAAATTTCACAAAGGCAGAGCTATACCAAAACGTAAACTGTCTTCATCCTAAAGCCGAATAATAGTCCCTAAGAGTCAACCCCAGATTACTGAGATGCTGTTGGAGTTAATGACTCAAAACCTCCACTTCTGCAAAGCCCGAGCTCATGACTGAGCTAAATCAAAACACGTTTCACAATATAACACTTGGTGGCAGATCTTTACTGCAAGATTTTTATCATGTCCCAAAAAGAAAGATGCCATCCAGTAGTGTTCTGAAATCTCCTTTGAGCGGCTGGTTAAAGTTCTGCATTTCATTTTTCAGGCAAAAGCCCCTGACAGCAAGTCAATTCTGTTATGACGTACTGTGCATAAGTCTGTGGAAAGCTGGATTCTGAGAGTGTAAACTACAGAAAAATGTAAACACTCAAAGTCAACTCTTACCCCTGACTGCCCACGCCACTCCTCGGATCCAGTCTTCATGCCCAAGCAGTGAAAGGGCCTTTTCAAACTAAAAAAATGCACAGATAACTGTTGCTTACATTTTACAGGGTACACTTTCTAAATTAAATATAAGTACAGACGATGCTGCGTCTCTGAAATGAACTCACACAATATTATGAAATCTTTTTTTTAAAATAATAAGATCCCTGAATGAAAATGATGAATCGCTGCATCAGCATCCTTCAAACCAGATAACAGTAGCAGAACTTACAATGAAACCTGGATAAAAGGTGACCTCATCGACACTACAGAGCACTGTTCGGTTTTGCCATGTGCTTCAGCATGACATAATTAATGACCCGGGTACTCCCAATAAAAGCTATTTCCGCCTCTAATGGATTTGTGAATTATAAGAGGGTTTGACGCTCTTCTAGGTGGTTTGCTTTGTGTTCGTCGGAAGGTCATACCTGCTCTTCCTGTCGCGTAAATAAATGGATTCGGCAGTCATCCCCACCGCATGCCAGAATGGGAACTGAAATCACAAGCTAGTGTCAAAATCGCCACCACTTTCAACAATTCAGAGGCCTGTTCAAGCAAGATTCAAAATTCAGTTGGCACTTAACAATATTCAGATGCAGCTTTCTGGATTTGCCCAAGGACTAAGAACTACTGCTTAAGCTATAGAAGAGATAAGAAAGCAGAGGGAATGAATGAAAAGAAAAGATAAGGAAGGACACCTCCACCTTGTACTGGTTTGTCCCAACATTAGTGCCAGTGTACTGAATAGCTTGCCAAAGTGTCTGGCTCTCTTCTGTCGCTTTAGAGCTGTTTCAATGTCAGTCGTCAAAAATGTTACAAGTCACCTTGTGAAGACATTAAGCCAAACGATTTACAACTGCACAACCTCCATGCTTCATGGTGTCTTTCACGAAATCTTGAACGAGCTCGTACCGAAAAATAAGAGATGCACACCTGACTGTTTCTAAATAATCATCTGTTGACATTAAGCACATTTTGACACACTAAAGGTGCTCTGTATCGTGGCATACAAATAGGTAGGGTGGGCCCCCAGTTACTTAAATGGGTTGCCAATAATGGTTTCTGGCTGGGGAACCACTTTTTCAAAAACTATTCTCAAAAATAATTCAGCCAAGAATACGTTTAGCCGGCACGTCTTTGGAAGGTGGGAGTACCAAAAAAAGCACAGGCCAAAAACCCATATGTACCAGTCCAGAATCCAAGATCGAACCTAGAGCCCAAAAATGCTGTGGCAGAAGTGTTAACTACCATACCGATATGGTCCCACCATATTGGGACCGATATGGTGTCCCAATAATAATATTATTAGTAGTATTATCATCATCATCACTTTATTAACCCTTTACAATTTTCTTGCATTAGGAATTGTCTTTTCTGCCATTGTACGGCACCCCTGGAGCAGTTGGGATTAAGGGCCTTGGTCAGGAGCCCAGCGGAGTAGAATTCCTCTGCCGGCTATGGGATTTGAACCGGCAACCTTCCAGCCACAGGCGCAGATCCTTAGCCACAGAGCCACCACTCCGCCCTATTTATGATAATGCTATTATCATAAAATACACAAAGCCAAATTTTAGGTCAAAAGATCCGCCAAATAAACTACTTAAATAAAGGGAAAAATCTATCACATGTAAAAATACAGATGAGAAAAAAAGGGCCCAATATTAATAATGCGTCTCTTTCAAAGTCAGAACAAAGCAAGACAAAGCTTCCTGAACTGCACTCACCTCTAGTTCCTGGCAGTAATGCAAGTGAAAGATCCATCATGAACCCATTTCCAAAAGGGAGTGTCTGGAGGCACTGTGCTAAGAATCAAATTAAAAGAATGTATTTATGCACAACTTATTTTGAATTATCCTTTAAAAGAACATAGTGGCTATGCACAAAATCTGATATTGAATTTACCATTCAGGAAGAATTTGTCTATAATCTCAATTACATTTTAAGCCATACCAATCCTAATAAAAACCAAACATAATTGACACAATAAGATATTTTGTGCAATCAGTTGAAGATTAAGGTCTTTAAAGTCATTAAGATACATGTTGATTTTCTTGCTGTCTTTTGCGGAGGAGAGCTGAGAAACAAGTCACACAGACTTTCAGAGCATTGATCTGTCAAACCCTACTCATCTAGTCAAAATCTTTTATTTATTCACTTCAAAAAACATGATTAAACTCACCTACAGTTCAATAAAACATTCTAGAAGTAATGAAAGCTACATATATCTTATTTTTTATTTAATGTTTTTGACGACAATTATTTTCTTTCACTCATAAAAAGGTTCATTGCAAGCATTCAAGTTTTGATAAAAAATGTACACAAATACCTTATTTGTAATTCAACAAAATACAAAATCTTTGGAAGGGAGGTGAATATTTTTGCAAGGCACTGTATATACTGCCATACGTCGTCACATGGTGTGAGGGTGCAGGGAATTCAGTGAAGATTTGAAAAAAGGTTTATTTCGTGGTGAAAAAGGCCATTTCTGGTTAACACTGACTAAGACACACACAAGATGTATCCCTCACAGTGCACTGAGTTTCAGCAGAGTTACAAAGAATTGTATACTCTGAATACAGCTACAGTAACCCTATGTCACTGCGATGAGTGGGTGTTCATGAATGACCTTTACCTGTATATCAGGAACCATAGAAAATACTTCCAGTCATGGCACAGTAGCTACTCATGATAATGTTATCCCCACTTTTCAGTTATTTCTCAGATATCTAATTTTTGGGGGGTTTCCTAACTCCAGAAGAAACATCTCGGGGAGAATTTTTTCCCTTTAGGGGACTGTCCCCTACACCCTTGGTAGGGGACAGCAGCTTCACAAATAGTTAATTCTGACCTGTCACATATAGCAGGCGTCTGTTCAAAATGCACTCAAGTCTGGGCAAGAGTAATGACCCCAGGCCAGGGGCAGATTTCTACAATGGTGTTAGTGTGAAAACCCTTACTCTTTGAGTCCTGCTTCATCCAGATTTTAACAGTCGAGTCAGAGGCAGCAGAGGCAATGAGCAACTGGCGGGAGTCCACATCCAAGTAAATTGCATCCACTGCACAGACAGCCCGAGTGTGGCCCTCACACTGTCCAGACTTGGTGAACTGAAAAAAGGGAAGCACAAAAGGTCAACTGCTCAGAGCCTAAAAATGTTCCAGACAGCAAGTGTAACAATACGGATGCACCACCAAACACTTTACTATGTCAAGGCCAGGAAGACTTAGAAACCCCCAACCCTTAAAAGGTTATGCACATTAAGCACAAAAGACGGAACAAAGCTGAAGCACTGTTTTAATAAATCTCTTTTCACTTCAGTTGTGGCTTTGTACTGATACTGTGAAAAAGCCAGCAGTGAACGAAAATTTCATGTTTGCCAGACTTAGATTAAAATGAAGAATGACTTATTAAGCTGATGTGAATTACAAAGAACGAAGATGTTCATTCTCAAATTCAGCTTGCAGGTATACCGTAACACTAAGAATGGAGGCTGAAAACCTGTCCAGTTATCAAAGTTGCCATCAAAGGCAATAAACGGAACTACAAGTAGCTTCGTATAATTTTTTTTCCCCGATCTCAGGTGCCCATGATCTTCAGATGCATAAGTAGTCAAAGAAAAGGGGTATATGTCTGTGCAACATACCTTACCATCCTGGACTTCCCACACAAGGACTTGATTATCAGACCCTCCTGATACCAATTCTGTTTCTGCACCTGCCAAAGTGGCAAAGAAAAACGATACTAAATTCAACACTTTGAGACCAGGTGCACTGACAGGGTACTGTAGCCCACAGTCTTCTCCAACAGACATGTAGTGAAGGACCTCACAGTTTAATCGCTCCGAGGACTTTTTAATCTAAAAAAAAAGCCAAATCTAAAGGTCACAGTGTACAATGAGGATCTACACTGTTACCTGAACCAGCTGGTTCTCATTTTCATGACACAACTAACCATTTCTATACATGTGGGACACTCCTGATGGGATGCACTGCTGCAAGATAATTAACTGGTCCATTTAACCTGAATGCCACTGCCATTTGTCAATATAATGATACTCACCACAGTCATTCCTGAGCACCCACTTAACAGCGTTTACTCTGCCTGTGTGTCCATTCAGAGTAGCAAAGATAGTTCTCCTCTAATACAAAACAGAAAGGGAAAGGCTTTCAGGAAACATAATGGTAGCATTGTATTTAATAAGCAAGATGTTTAAAACTGTATCGATACAAACGATAAAACTGACATTATTTTTCTTCTATTTTTAAATAGAAATCTTGCCCTTAGAAAAATCATTCCGTTGAGAGTTTGCTATGCAAAATACCATGTTTCTCTCCAGAAGGTTATTTTCGAGTGATAATGCAATCGATATTACTCAATAAATAATTAATACCAAATATTTGGTCATAAGTAACATTACTGTATTTGTAAGATAAAACATGGGTTGGGTCAGTCTGTAAAATTATTTTTGTGCGTTTCTAGTTTCGAAAGTTTCATTTTAAAAAGATAATGAACATTTATTCTTATCAGTAGACAACAATAAAGCGTATACCGTATGACTGGTGCATCATACTTTACTGCAATGGACATAAGTAACATACAGTACGATAGCATCCATCAAACGTGTACCACGTCCATGTAACACAGGTCGTTACATTTTCGGAAACTAGGTTACATAGGAATGCAACTAAGTTTCGGTCTACGACCTCAAAGTAATCCCTCATAAGCAAATAAAGATAAATCTATCATTTCCTTGAAGGGCGTATCGAACAGGCTAAATATATCAAGAATCTAAACATATAGTAGTGTTGGTAGTTTGTACTTTATGTACGATTATCTCATAAAGTTGGGAAATATCTTAATTGCAGCATTACTGACTTTAGCTATAACATGACATAATCCAAGATTAAAAACTGTAAAAAAAGTTAACGGCACACAGTAATTGTGAAAAAGAAAGATTATAATGATGTCGTGAAGTATAACTGAGTCAATAACGTTCATTTCAATAGCTCAAAGCAACAAGCTAAACTGCATTGCAAAGGCTAACACTTCTGGGTCATTTTGTGTGCATCATACAAGGATTTTCACTTTTGCAATAAAATCTGATTACCTTTGGATGATACAGAGCGACAGAATTGCATGTTCCGAAGGCAACAATTCCTCCTCTTCCCCAGGAAAGCACATTAGGAGTACGATTCGCACAACATGAAACAAAACATGTTTCAGCTATGGACGCCGCCATTTTTGATGCTCATTTGTCAACTCTAACCCTTTACGTCAGAGATATTAGCCACGTGGCCACAAAAACCAAAGGCCTCCGATTTTCCAAGTGACGTACAGTGAAAGGGTGTTGATTGGTTAATTTATGCTATATTAAAATATCTCTTCTAATTTTAGTATGCACATTTAAATTTTCGCAAAGCGCTGTATAAAGGGCATTGGAAAGCAAAACCTTGTAAAAATGTAAAAAAAAATAACACTGAGTAGCCTTTAAGGCTCTAGACTCATCACTGAAAAGATAGTGGTTTCTAATGCCACATCATGCATTACTGTCAGCCTGGAAAATCGAATATGTCTATAAAATGAACTGCAGTTTAAATAAAGAAATTGAATTGAGCATCAGCAGCAAAGGAACAAAAGATTAATTCCATACTAAAACGAAAGCAGAAAAAAAAACATTTCTGTTGTGATCCTTTCTTTAGATGTGCGAGGCCTCAGCTAAATAATTTTATATTAAAAACATCATAATACAAGTTACAGTATAAAATGTATGACTGTAAAAATCACAGCCACCCTGATCTCAATGGGGAGGGTCTCCATTATTTTGTGTAAAATAAAGCATAGAAAGGTTCATCACCCATAGTTTGTAATTTAGCAGATTAAATAAAAAGGAGACTTGTATTAGAGGACCAGAGAGTGATGATAAAATATATCTAGATAAGAGGTCATAAAAAGTGAAGGAGAGATACTATACCTTTTCTAAGCCTTGTGAGTCAAATCAAGAATAAGGCCTATCTGATCATTTTTGGGAAGCCAGTGTAGGGATTTCAATATAAAAGTTAAGTGAATGCCAGGAGACCCAGATGCAGATATTTGAAAGTGCTGAAGTTTAATGTATTCTTTGAAGCTTCTGAATGAAGAGCGTTACAGTAAGACAGATGCACATACTCATTTCTCCACAGCAAGCACTGACAGCACAGGACAGCCAACTGATATTTCTAATATTGAAGAAAGCTATCTTGAAGTTCCAAACAAGTCTGAAGGTTTAATTAGGATGAAACAAGACACCCTTGTTTTTCACCAGAGACAGTGTGAACACTATGAATGATGGTAGTTAGTGTTACAGTAAAAACTGTATATACTGATATTGATGTAGATAACCCATAACTTATGTCTAATTACTGTTAAAGTACAAACCATTCTGTTACCCCTTAACTTGTTAACTTTAACATTAACAATACAAACTGATTTATCCATGCATAGGTACATGACTGGTACAGTATTAAAATTTGGCATTATTTTGCAAGAATTTTAATTGTACACACTGCACTATGAAATGGTGCTTTGCATTTATATATTATTGTTTTAAATCAATAATTTGGCATAAAATAACCACAGTGGCTTTGAGCCAAAAAGTCATGATATCAGCTATTCACATAACATTAAACCTGTGTTTCATATGACTCTGAAACACGACCTACTGAAAAATGTAAACTTAAATATGGCTCTGAAGAGGAAGCTGAGCCATCACAAGCATGAAGCATCAGGAAGACCATACACTATTTTTATTCAATTGGTCCACTGGAACAAAGGCTTGAAATTATCAGGTGATTTAATCAAGGCTTAGAAGCAGGCTTTAATTGAGGAAATGTGATTGAACATTTTAAAACAATGTGTGAGACATAAATGTTAAAATCTAGTTATAACAGGTATTTTGCTTAATGTAACAAAAATCACAGTGAATAACAATCAAAAGGGTCAACTCTTGAATCAAGGGTTAACAAGCAATCAAATAAAAAAAGCTGGAATAAAAATAGTATTTTTATTTAATAACACACCAGCTATCAGTGGGAGTAGAGCAGAGTGATGAAGCCAGTTCATAGATGGGGATTATTAGGAGGCCATGATTGGTAAAGGCCAATGGGAAATTTGGCCAGGAAACCAGGGTTACACCCCTACTCTTTTCAAGAAACACCCTGGGAATTTTAATGACCACAGAGAGTCAGAACCTCTTTTACGTCTCATCCAAAAGACGGCGCCTTTTTACAGTGTAGTGTCCCCGTCACTATACTGGGGCATTAGGACCCACACAAACCATGGGGTGAGCACCCCCTGCTGGTCCCGCTAACACCTCTTCTAGCAGCAACCTTAGTTTTTCCCAGGAGGTCTCTCATCCAGGTACTGACCAGGCTCACACCTGCTTAGCTTCAGTGGGCTGGCAGTTGTGATATTGCTGCTGGCTGAATAATTAATTAATTAATTATTCAAATAATTCTCTATTCAAATTACTGCCCTTTGAAATTGTGCTTTATATCTACAAGGAAGGAATGTGTGTAAATGTGACGAAAGAATAGGATGCTCTGAGGGGCATTACTTTCCCCACGGTCCCCCCCCTAAGATGAGAGACCGGCTACACAGCTCACAAGAGACTAGATGCTGTCAATCACTGGAGCAGGGATCAGCTGTGCGCCCTGCTACAGCCCACATAAATAGAGTGCCGAACCTAGAAGGGAGAGATGAATGAGAGAACATGTTGAGAGCTTGAGCTTGAATGACACAAGACATACAGTACCTATCAGCCTCTGCCCTGCAAAGGTTAAGACATTACTGAACCAGCCTCCGCACTGAAGATTCCAAACCACCCTCCATTTTGAAGATCGGCCGTGCTGCTACTACAACTGACACCTTAACACAGTGCAGGCTGATTTTTTGCAAATATAGTGATGGAGCTGCAGATCCCAGTCACACTCGCAAGCCTCCAAGCTGAAGACCAGCTGCGCCGCTACTGTGCCAGCCATTCCATCACAGCGTAGGCAGATGACACAACAATACCGCAAGTGGCCAAAGGGCTCTGGAAACCCGGAGGCCTTGCCAGCCTCCAGGCTGAAGATGGGCTGTGCTGCTACCCGAACACAGCGCAGGCTGTTTATTTTCAAAAACAGCCATAGAGCTGCAGACCCCAGCCACACGGCTGTTTCACAAGCCTCCGGGCTGACAATCAGCTATGCTATTACTGCACCAGCTGCTTAATTACAGTGCTGTCTCACCAACACAGCCTTTAACTAACGTCTCTCAGATAACATTACATTGCTTTATTAACCCTATACAATTTCTTGCATTAGGAATTCATCTTCTCACATACCCCAGCTTGCTCTCCACAAGAGACAGACACACAGACAGGAAGAGAAGCTTGGGGTCAGAGCACAGGATCAGCCATTGTACAGCACCCCTGGAGCAGCTGAGGTTAAGGGCCTTGCTCAGGGGCCCAACAGAGTAGGATTCCTCTGCCAGCTGCAGGATTTGAACCAGCAACCTTCCAGCCACAGCCACAGATCCTTAGCCACAGAGCCACCGCTCCGCCCTTGACATCATGACATCATGCAACAGACTAAAGACATGTGCCTCTGCAACTACCTTGGCCACCTTGGTCGGAACATTGACCACACCTGATGAAGAGCCAGTATTATTTATAGTTCCAGATAATAAAAAAAAGCTGTTTGACTTCAGACTTCTGTATGAGGCAAGTCTTTGATTGGGGCCCTGTCTAGAATCCGTTTCCCTGTTGTGAGCTGCTCCCCGCAGCATCACAAGTGTTAAACAAGGAAAACCGAGCACTTTTGTACCAATGCCCCCAGAGTAATGATGACAATATAAGCAATCAAATATCGGTGACTTTCTTTTTCAAATGAATTTCACGCAATCTTCTATATCTGTTGGAAATGAACTAAATTGAAATGCTACCTTTAAGTGAGATGAAGATCCTGTCACGACAGGGAGTATGATTGCTTTGCACCATAACTCCAGATAATCAAAGGGCACAGCAAGAAACATAAAGCTGCTATTTTGGAAAAAAACTTGTTTTTATATACAATATGGCTTAAATAGTGTCATAGAAATCTGACAAGAAAACCCTCACCTCTGTAATATTATAATAATAATTGCTTTTCTGGACATTCCACTCAAAGCGCTTTACAGGTAATGGGGACTCCCCTCCACCACCACCAATGTGCAGCATCCACCTGGGTGATGTGACGGCAGCCATAGTGCACCAGAACGCTCACCACACATCAGCTATCAGTGGGGAGGAGAGCAGAGTAACATAGCCAATACATAGATGGGAATTATTAGGAGGCCATGATTGGTGAGGGCCAATGGGAAATTTGGCCAGGACACCGGGGTTACACCCCTTTTCAAGAAACGCCCTGGGATTTTTAATGACCACAGACTCAGGACCTCAGTTTTATATCTCATCCAAAGGACGGCACCTGTTTACAGTATAGTGTCCCTGTCACTATACTGGGGCATTAGGACCCACATGGACCACAGGGTGAGCGCCCCCTGCTGGCCCCACTAACACCTCTTCCAGCAGCAGTTTTTCCCAGGAGGTCTCCCATCAAGGTACTGACCAGGCTCACACCTGCTTAGCTTCAGTGAGTTACCAGTTGTGAGTTGCAGGGTGATATGGCTGCTGGCCATATTGAATATTGAATTGTTCATCAAATCAGTTGCAATTCCACATGGACATTAGTTGTCTTTTATTGATAAGCACCATTCTTCTATTTTTTGTCCAAGGCTTTTTAACACACAGCACAGTTGAACCTCAAGCTGTTGAATCAGTGGTGCCATCTCATCTAGCTTATACTTAGCTCCTCAAAACCAGGGTCATTTCAGTGGTCATCCTTTAAGATCTCTATACCCTACATGATATGCTATATAGTATATTATGCTATGTGAATTCGTTGTTGACCAAACTGCTTCTAATCATTTACAATCTTGTAAGACACAGCAGAGCTAAGTGTATTTGTTCGTTCTTTGTCTTTCACTTCTTCAAGTTAACAGATTTTCTGTGTTAGAAATAATCTCTTGCATACAGTAGCTTCTGTTTTCAAATGATATGTTCCCAAAATAACCAGTACTACTTTTGGAACATTACCATACATTTTTAAACAAAAAAATGTTTAATTCATTTTTACATTTATATTTTTCAATATAATAAAAAATAACAAATGGAAACACATGAAAGCAGTAA